CTAAGAAATCTTCGAGCAGGGTAAAGGGTGCATACCAAATTATTGCCAATATCAATCTAAAAGAAAAGGATGGACCAATTTAATATTTTGCCCTTTGTATCCTTGGATATGCTAGAGACTGAAAGCAAAAGGGGACGTAAGGCCCCGGTGGTGTAAACACCTGATATAAAAGATACAATGGAGGTCTTAGGCAAGAAAAGACGAGGCCAAAATCAATCTAAAGTTTAAAGTCCAAGTTTTTCTCTGCCCGCCCGTCTGAGGACTCAATTAATCACATTTGCCATGGGGACTGTCTGGGGAATCAATGCTCTTAAAAATCTTTTACCAGGGTAAAGGGTGCTCACCAGATTATTGTCAATATTAATCTAACAGAAAAAGATGGACCAATTTTGCGCTTTCCCATTATATTTACAATATGTATCCTTTGCAGGATGGATATGGTTGAGATTGAAGGCAAAAGGGGACGTGAGCTCCCACTGCTGTTAATGCCTGATATCAAAGAAGCAATGGAGATCTTAGTCAAGAAAAGACGAAGCCAACACCAATTAAAACGACAAGTCTTTCTTTACCCGCCTGTCTGAGGACTCAATTCATCACATTCGCCACAGGGACTGTCTAACAAAACAATGTAGAGGGCTTGAAGTAAAAGAACCTAATTTGATAGTACCTGCCATAGAAAGTATGCTGCAACGGTTTCCCCAGTGTTAGACCTCCAAGAAAGAGTTAGATTGACTGGCACGACACATGGGACATGACATCAGAGTACACAGGGAATATTATAGACTCCACCAGTCTGGAGCTGGCTAAATTCAGCAAAATAATGGCACTAGTTGATGAGGGAAACTTCCAGCAAGCCATTGGGAAACCTTTGAATGAAGTCGAGGTTGATGCTGGTTAGTTAAACATTTATGTCCTGTTCTTGTAGATCATAATCCATTTAAATTTTGTACATAAACGTTTCAGGGGGTATAGCCAATAACAACCAAACAAACTACATGTCAAAAAACTCTGTGGGTTACCACTATTTGGTTTTAGGGGGAAAATGTATACGCAAAATGTTCATCCCTGTTTCCTTGGAAAATTGCATTTTTCTTGCTGTAAGAAAGGCTGTAACAAAGGAAGAGATGGCACGACACTGCAGATGGCAGACAAGAGGGGTTGAGGAAACTTCTAACTGCTACAGTTAGGTTCTAACTGTTACGATCGGTTATTTCAACAAGAAATGTTGATTGATGGTTGGTTACATAGAGAAAAATTGATCGTGCCACTTCAAGAAATATACGATATTGAATTTGAAAAATTCACACGCTTACACAGGTACACGCATTTGTAGAATTGTAACCTTTACTAAGACACTTTGGGTGATTTTTTGTGGAAAGTGTACACAAGCGCTTACCAAGTTAGATGTGTGTCCAGCTACCCTGTGGATTAATTGGTGTTTGAAAGACTGGTGTACAGATTTTTGTCACTGTATGAGAATTAACTCTATGCCTCTTTTTCCAAGTGCTTTTTGAAGATCGTTTGCGCGGTTTTTTTCTACTGGTCTTGGCCATCAAGTTTCCTTTTGGCAGGGGTTCCAAAACGATTCCAACCAGGAGCAGGTTCTAACTTTTTTAAGCCTTTGTTACTTTAGACCGAAAGTCTTAACGAGATTGTCTTGTAATGCGTTTTCTACCTGATTCAGCTCCATCAACTGGTGTATCCCAAGGTTCAACTCCGTAAGCGCCTGAAAAGAGAAGTTCTGTTACTAATTCTTACGAGGTTTTTTCTGGTGTCTTGAATGAAGGAGTAGACTTTTTAACACTGGACTTTTTTAACGGCATCTTGCGTAATAAACACTATCCTTTGGACCCCGTTTTAAAAAAAAATTGGCTTTTTCACTGCAAGGGTGGTGACTGTTTTATGTCAGGGGTCTTTGGAGTCCTTGGTCTTTTCATACCTTTTTGAATCTTGGCTATTTGCTAATCATTTGGTGCATAGGACCTACAGCTAAATTATTCTCCTCATCTCATAAATCCTCAAAATCTTCTCCACTCCCAATCGCTCGTGTTCCTCCTGGTTGTTGTTTTTTTAGTCCATTGACGTAATTGTCATCCTAATGCTTTCAATCGTGGTTCTTTCCATGTATCGGGGGCTTCACTTTCATAGAGCATATGTTATTGAGCGGCTAAATCTGCTGTTGGTTAAACGACTGTCATCCAAAAGTTTGGATTTGTATTGATCGTGCAAACATCAAAATTTCACAGAATCTTCCACGGGTGTACTGCTTACTCCCTCCATTCTTGAAAAATGATGACCCTATGGATCATGATCTGCTACTTATACGTTTTACGGTCGTGTTTGAGACAGGGTGGGGAAATTTTTCTTTCAGTTTTGTTGAATCTCTTTCAACATCTCCGCTACAGACAAAATACTTTGCACTATACAAAGCTATTGATCGAGCAGTACTTGTCTTCTCATCATGTTAGTAACGATACTGTTTATGACCACAATGATAACAATGTCGTAATTCTTGCCAAACACTTCCTCCTAATTGATGCATCATCAATCCTCGTGGCCTTTTTATACTTTGCCAAGGGTTGGCTATGACAGGGAGTTGTTTACCATAAGGTTTGAGTCTCCTTAATGTTTGTCTTTCTTGAGGGACCGCGCCACAGATTGTATTCATGACTAATTCACTCACATTGATTTGATCTGTATTCGCATGTCATAATTGTTGTTGGCGTTTATGTAACTTGGCTTCATTAAATACACTTTTTAAAAAAGCAGCTTGACTTGACATACACCCTGTCATCTGTTTGTTTAACACACTGAACGTGTAACGGTGCTTACGGTTTACATGACGCTTACGTGTCATAGCCTTACGTCTTGCTATATCAAGGACTTTTTTAGTACTATAACTAGCTGCAGCACTCACTCCACCTAGAGCTGACGCTTTCCCAGCTGCTACTAAAGCGGGAACAGCTTTTTTTTTAGAGTGTAAAAGAGCACTTAGCTTGAATAGTGTCAATTTCCGGCCTTTATAGTACTTAATTAGTTTCTATTAATGATGTAATTTAGTTTTAAAGGTGTTCCCAATTAGTGCCAATAGGCACTAGAACGACAAGACACTTTAATAAAGGTTATGTATGTATGTACGTATGTATGTATGTATGTAGGCACAATACCACCTGTTTGTCTTCTAACCCCAGGTTTACGTTGTCTAGCTCCACTATTTTTATCCATTTGGACCACTGTGCAACTGCTTATGTCACATACTTTTTAAACAGATGGGAAAGAGAAATACTGATCTCCATGTGGCATTCTTTGAGCAACCGTGGGGAAACCCCATCTGGTCCACAGGCCTTGTTCACATTCAAAGATTTCAGTACTTTAGCCACTTCACTAGGTGTACAGATCAGACTATTAATGAGATGTACAGGCAAAACAGTTGAATAATCACATCCATGTCCTGGTATGGAAGACAGATTATCAGTTATTTTATTAAATACCGGACAAAAGAATTGATTAAAGACGTTTCCGTTATCCTCTGGGGTTAATGTTTGAGTTCCATTGTATATTATACAACCAGGTGGGCTCTGTTTCTTTGTATATCATTTCACAAATGACCAAAAGCATATTGGATTGGTCTTTAATAAAGCTGGGAGGTCTTTGACATATGAAAAATAGGCTTTGTTAAAATTGTCTTTTACCAAGTTGCTAAATTTTTTATAGTTTGCCCGTTTCGCTTGATCCCTAGAGAATTTCTGCTTTTTCCAGAGACTTTGCTTCCTGTGTCAAAGTTTCTTCAACTCTGAGTTAATTAACTTCTTCTGAACATTTCTGAATATTACTATTGCTGTTTCTCATTACAGTTCTGCCAATATGTACACATGTATAACAATTATGTAACTATATTAAATTTGAAAACCTAGTGACAATTCCCTCTTTTGATAAAAAATAACAATACAGTAAAAACCCACGTATAAGAACCTACAATCCTCGCCAAAAATCCTTGAAACACCCCTTTCCCCTGTGCAAAGTTGAGATGACATTTCAGTGTTTCACTGGCTACAACAACATTGACATTTCAGTGTTTCACTGGCTACAACAACATTGCAAAAGGGAGGGGGACGGAAGTGGTGCGAGAATGTTCAAAGTGTTTCAAGGTTTTTGTCTAAGATTGTCTGAATTGGCGGGAAGATTTTTGACCATGCGCAGAATATGCAAAGTGACACTTAGAAAAAAATTAATCTCTAGGGCAACACGTGGCTTGTCTGGTTGTTGTGGTTGTGTGAGTGTGCGGCGAGGGATTATAACTTGAGTAAATTTTTTTTTTTCATAATGGCAACTTCTGAAGTAGATTATAACTGTCAGTATGAGAGTATTGAAGAGAGATCAGAGGAGGAAAGTGAAGAGGGAAATGAACAGTTGGAGGATAATGGTTGTTCAGAAGAGCTCGACGTGGGATCTCAAGAGAGGCTGTTGCATCGTGAAGTGCGTAGCGTGTATTTAATTACTTACAGTCAAGCCGACCTTGACAAATTTCCAACAAGACAGTTTTGCTAGAACGGTTGTGCAAGCATTCGATGAGACAAGGAGCGGGTTAGCTGATATTGTGCAGTGGGTTTGTAGTCAAGAGCGGCATTCTTCAGGAGGAACGCATTACCACATGGCGGTAAAGCTATCGCATGCACGCCGATGGTTGTGAGTAAGAAATTATCTCGACGACAACCACTCCATTCAAGTGAATTTTTCGTCTGTTCACTCCAATTATTATAGCGCCTGGAGATACACAACAAAAGAAGATAGCGAGTATGTTCAGTCTGTAAATCATCCCGATTTGGTCAACAGCGCCCCACCTCGAACACAAAAGGCCAGTGTGACAACAACGGAACGTGGTGGAACGAAGAGAACAGCCAAGAAAACCAGAAAAAGGAAGGCACCCCGTCTCAGTATTTTCGACGTGTCTAAGCTAGTCGTAGCAAAAGGAATAAAGTCCAGGCTAGAACTCTCGACAAATGAAAGAGGGAAAGGAAGATTTAGCGCAATTTATCGCTAACAGAGGAAGTAAAGTTGTTGACGAGGCTATACAAGTAGGATGGGAAATGGAGGAAGCAGAGGAAAAATTGAAAAGGAAACAAATGACAAGGATGGAAATACTGCACAAAGCTCTAGAAGGTCCGTGTATCGCTAACTGCAATGGAGAGTGGTTGGACGTTGCAGAGGATACTCTCGCACGGAATAACCTATCAGGTGGGAGTTTTCAGAGTGCTGTACGCGAGCTACTTGAGAAAGGACGTGGCAAGTACCGAAACATTTTAATCTTTGGTAGTGCCAATTGTGGGAAAACTTTTTTACTAAACCCTTTAAACGTCATCTACAATACATTTACTAATCCCGCAACTAGCAACTTTGCTTGGGTTGGAGCTGAATCCGCTGAGGTTCTTTTTCTTAATGACTTTCGCTGGAGTCCACAGGTCTTGCCTCGGCACGATATGCTTCTACTTTTGGAGGGGCAGACAGTTCATTTGCCAGCACCGAAGTGCCACTACGCTAAAGACATTGTATTTGAAACGGATACACCAATATTTTGCACAGGGAAACATGAGTTAGTGTTCATTAAGGGAGGTTGTATAGATGAGAGGGAGACCGAAATGATGCGAGTAAGGTGGAGAATCTTCAACTTCTTTCCGCAGATTCCACACTGCGAGCAAAGAAACGTTCCACCATGTCCAAGATGTTTCGCAAAATTAATTCTCTGCTCTAACAATAACAATAACAGTTCGGCATAAGGATAGATAAGTGTTGAGTGAATTCCGAGCGAAGAATCTGCGAAGCTAAGCATATTCAGATAAAAGTATTATGCAACTTTAGAGTATTGCGTGATGGTAAGAGAAGTGTAAAGTGTAAACAGAGGCTGGTAAACCGGACGGTTTACCATTAGTTTTTGCCTTTTATCGCATTTCGTATTTGTATTTCTCTGTGGAAAATCACTTTGAATAAGAGATTACTTATAATTCACATGAATTTTTAACAACAGCTTCAATGGCATCGTGAAATTCAGCCTTTTCCCAACGGTTAACCATAACATGTAATAAAGTAAGATTGTCAACAGACCAACTTCTATTGTGACAACGGTAAACCGTTGACCTTTACCGCATGTGAGTCGACTAAGGCAAAACATGCCGATAGATAGTTTCCTTTTTACGCACAGTTTTAGGGCATAAATGCTACACTTGTAGGTGCCACAAACGATTGTTACATGAAATTCTGTAATGCTTCTGTTGTGAAATACAAAGCAACAACAATTACATGTTGTCCATGTGAATTCCAAACTATTATCAGTGATTATTATGTAATCAGTTCAATAAGATAATTTTGTAAATGTACATTGCATTATTCCTTTGAAAACATACAGCTACATATTTAATATTTTAGTCTCTGTCCTTTTGTTTCTAGTATAAGTTGTATACGCCTGTCCATGGATTCGATTAAATTGTTTATTTTAGCTACTGGAAACTGAACAATTGTATCTTTCACGCTTTCTTTGAACTGGGTGAAACTCTCTCGCTCTAATTGTTTTTCAATAGCGCTGTCGTGCAAGTCGTCACTGACTGATTTAAACATGTTCTCTATTGGATTTAGATCAGGACTCCGTGGTGGTATCTTAAACAACTGTGCGTTTACTCGTTGCAAAGCAATCTTTGCTACTGCTGAGTTCTGACTAGGGACATTGTCTTGAATGAAGAGTCTTGTGTTTCCTTTCTTTGATTCCAAAAACATTTGTTCAAAAGTTGAAAGACGCAAAAAAATTTCCCGTCATATGTTCATATTCTTCGCATAAAATAACTCCTACATTATATGAAATCGCCACTAAAAACTTGACTATCTTTCCTCCAGATCCAACTTTACTCCCTTTCGCTGTGCAATATTGATTGAGACCTTCTGATTTTTTTTGTTAGATCCTTCCAGTAGGAGCTCGTGCTTGATCAAGCGGGTTGGTCTTGTGTGCAAAAGGAACTCCGTCCAAGTAGAAAGCAATTTTTTGTGTCCATAACTCATTGTTGTACTCTTCTCTGACTTTTTTGGCAAATGAAACGCGCAAGTTCTTGTCATTGTTAGTAAGCAGCCCTTTTTTCCGGGCCTGCAGATAAAAGTATCCTTTGCTATTCAAAAATCTTGCCACATCTTGCCACAGTGCGAACTGACACATTACTTTCCGAGACGTTTGCCTCATTCATTAGTCGCTTGGCAGTAAAGTTACCTTCTGTACGCCTCAATTTGTGTAGAGCCCTTATAAGGAGTCTCTCTTCTCTAGATGACAACTTTCTTGGCCTTCCTCTTCTTTTGTAGGTGACGTTTGCCTGAGTTCGCAAATGCCTTGAAGCACTGTTAGATTCTTTTAACACTCGCATTACTGTTGCTGCAGATCGGCCGACTTTTCCTGCAATTTCTCTCAGTGAATACCTCTTTTCCACATACAGAAATCTGATGAGCGCTCATTCTTCAGCCGTTGTTTTCTTATTGTACACCATACTTACTTTCCTCACTTAACTATGTGACTAATCCTGACACTTAACCTTTATGTCTCAGTATAATTCAACTTCTTCTACGCGAGATTCCTGCGCCAGGCTGTACTTATATATCATTTTTTAGACTTATAATAACAGTTCCAGTATTTCTACGGAAAACTAGAAAATCAATGTTTTCCTTTCCTTGCATCAAACAAAAGTTACAGCAACATTTACCGCGCTATCGCAATCTTTCTGGACTATTCACGAAAACTACTTAACAATAACTGCCAACAACTGATATTAACCAGATGGCTTTTCGCAACTCACACAATCCTCGCCAAAAATCCTTGAAACACCCCTTTCCCCTGTGCAAAGTTGAGATGACATTTCAGTATTTCACTGGCTACAACAACATTGACATTTCAGTGTTTCACTGGCTACAACAACATTGCAAAAGGGAGGGGGACGGAAGTGGTGCGAGAATGTTCAAAGTGTTTCAAGGTTTTTGTCTAAGATTGTAGACATTTTGACCCGTTTTCAAGAAAAATAGATTCCGTAACAGTTCTACTACGTCCAATGCCCTCAGAGCTTAAGCTGTGTTCCCGATGTGTAGTTTTACAAGTTTTGATTGCTTATCATTATGTCGATTTTATTTTTTATTTGTTTAACTAATCACAATTTTACTGTAATGTGTTCATGTATTGTTTCTTCGTTTCTCTCATTATTCTTTATAGATAAGCTTATAAGTGGTGGTATGTTTAAGTAATCACCTAATTCAACCTCTCGGTTGCGATGTGATGATAAATAAACTACCGGTATTAATCTATCTATATCAAGATCAATCAATGCCTCCTTGCGCTCTCTTAGAACACTGTAGCTTGTAAAGATTACCTGTATTTTTGCTCAATACATATGACATCCTCCACATTCCCAGTCCTCTAGTAAAAGGCAGAATTTAGTGACTAACGTATTCTTGGTTATACCAAGAACAAGTGTCCAAAGACCAACCTGGGTTTTTATCACATTCTGGTAAAATTAAAGCGTTATCCTGAAACAGATCTCTTAAAAGTTCTAACCCCTTTTGGTTAATACTTTTGTGAAGTATTTAGAAAGTTATTTTTACGACAGATTTATCTCGTCTTTTAAGTCTAGTTTTGTTTCATCACGTGAGTCAAGGTTAGTCTTGATTTTTGTTCACACAGGAGTTTCCCTGTTTTGATCTTTTGCATTTTCTTGTACTTGAATCTATGCTTAGCTTGCGAATTTACTTATTGCCATTTTAGGAATATACTTCGCTTGTCATTGTCAGATGTTAGTTTTTCATAGGTGGTCGTGTTTGCGATGTTTGAGCTGACCCTGGTTTATTAGTCTCGTTGAAGTTCCAGCTTGGGTTTGTTAACCAGAGTTTTAATTTTTCAGCGATTTGTACACTCCTGCTGATCACAACCATGTAGGTTTTGTCGTACCAAAACATTACGCACACCGAGTTTAGCGTAATTTCATTCCCACGGTCAGTTAACCCAAACATGTCCAGCTTTGGCTAAAAAAGAAACCACTACTATGCTTGAAGTAGAAGTTGGTAGATGAAAAGTTGGAGAGTAAGTGGAAGAGTTGGAAGAGTAAGAAGATTAAGATTGCTAGCAGAAATCGAAGAAGAATGAAGGCAAGATGTAAATCGGATTCATGGTACCTCATTGTGTAGCAAGCGAGTTGCTCGAACACATCCCTCACTAGTCATCCTCCCAACAAGTGAAGTAGATATATGGCTAATTCCAGCAGAATTTACAGAAACATAAACCTCCTCTCCAAATAACCTATTCCAGGATTAAAAATAGTAATGCACACTCTCTTTCCGTTGTACATTCTGATTAAATTAAAAGACAGTAGACAATCGACTAACCCCATTACAAAGAATATCTGACAACTGTGGGTATTTAAAATTAAAAAGAACTATAACGCTGTCATTTCTTCTTTGCTCATTTCATCGAATGTATAAATTCATAAATTTACACTTTCCATGCTACACGTATACATACAATGTATGGCACCTTCAATGTGAAGCCACACAAAGAAAAAAAGCGCTCATATTTATACCTTTATTTCTTTCTTTATGTGATTCAGATGAATTTATCTCTTTCGTCGTCAGGTATACACACGTTGATGAAAGGTTTTCGTGCTATGCCCGGAGACTTTCCAAACATGATGTAAAGACACTGCCAGAATTACTCGAAGAAGTGTTTCCCCACAAGTAAAATTCCAACTACTTCCATTCATGTTCTATGTCAAAACATGGATGTCAGACCACATCAACGATCTGACAGGACACATTCATCAACATCACTTTTTTAAAAACTGCGAAAAAATGCACTGCTGCTCTAGATTGTACAGAAAACAGAATATAGTATAGTAAGCTTTAATGAGGGATAGCAAGGTCAAACCGTGATGAGGATCAAGCAATTTATCTCTGAAGGCTTGTTTATTTCGACAGGAACATTCATTGAATGAAGAATATAGATTGTAGGCTTCTTCCAAATGTAAGTATCCATATCCATGCATCAGATGTTCTTGCACTGCTCTCAGACCTCGAACCATACAATTTGCCTGCGTCCCTTGTTTTGACCTCTGCAGAATAGACTCCAGCAATAACAAAATTTCATTATTATCAAGACACTGGAGTGAAGATGTAAAATACTTTCCCTTCGTTGACTTTTTCTAGGACTGCACACCGTTTCTTATGCCAGCTGAGCCCCAACTGCAGTGAATCTTTACTTGATTTGGTAGCTGCCATATTGAATGCTATATAACCAAGCTTGTCCCAGGACCCTATCAACTATTTTTACATAACCAGACTACCAGAACCCCATCTAGCTTTAACATGAAGTTGAGAGAAAGAGAGAAAATCGAGTCATCTTAAATCTTGGTCTAGGTAAGGTGGGGGGCATTTTAAAACATCTTATCATTAAGGGGGGGAACAATTTTCATGTGAAATTATTTTAGGGGGTAAAGTTTTCATACACCACACGTTTCTGACCCCCGGACGTAATAAACGATCGGCCCCTTAAGTCGGCTCTCAAAGTATGCAATGCTTTCAAGTCCGCGATGAGAGTGAGTTTGCAATGAGTTCGTGGGTTCTTTGTGGAAAAAGCATCGTAGAAAATTCAGATAAAAATCTACCTCTTCTACTTTCCCCTTCCGCCTTCTTCAAGACCTTTAACGATTGCCAAAAGAAGGCATTGAAACATGTT